CCCTCTTCCGTTTTTCTGTCACTGCTCTCTTCCTCGCCTTCCCTCTTCTGTTTGCTCCTTGTTTCCTCCCGTCTCCTGTCAACTTGCCATACTCTCCATCCTCCTCTCCCTCTTGCTCTTCCTCCGCCTCCTCTCCTTTGTTATCTTCTTCCTGTTCCTCTCCCTCCTCTGTCTACTTGCCTCTCCTTCCCGCTCCCTTCCTTTTCTTCTTTCGTCCCTCCCTCCTTTTGTCCACTGCCTCCTTTCTCCCGCTACCTCCTCTGTCACTCCTCCTGCCCACCTCTCTTCTCTCTCTGTTCATCTGCCTGCTCCACCTCCCTTCCTTTTTTTTTTCTGTCACTGCCTCTTTTCTGCTCTTCCTTTTCTCCTTTTCTGTCACTGGCCTCCTCACCGTCCTCCTCTCCCCTCTGTCAATTCCTCTCCCACCTCCCTCCTTTCTGCCACTGCCTCTCCTGCCTCCCTCTTCTGTCACTTTGCTCCTCCCGCCATCCCTCTTTTCTGTCCCTGCCTCCTTCCCTTGTGCCTCTCTTTTTCTCTCCTCTGTCAATGACCTCCTCCCACTCTCCCTTCCTTCTGTCACTGCCCTCTCCCGCCTTCTACCTTGCTCACTGCCTCCTCTTCCCGCCTCCTCTTCCCTCTTTTTTGTCACTGCCTCCCTCCGGCCTCCCTCCTCTGTCACTGCCTCTTCCCGGTCCCTGTCCTCCTTCTTTCACTGCCTCCTCCCACTCCCTTCCTCTGTCACCTGCCTCCTTTCCCGCCTTCCCTTCCTCTGTCACTGCCTCTCCTCGCATTCTCCTCCGTCTGTCTACGGTCCTTCCTCCACCTCTCCCGTCACTGCCCTGCCCCGTCCTCCTCCCGTCACTTTGTCCTCCCTCCTCTGTCATTGCCTTAACTCTCCGCCTCCTCCTCCTCTGTCACTGCCCTCCTCCCGCCTCCCCTCCTCTGTTCACTGCCTCCTCCCGCCTTCCCTCCTCTGTCTCACTGCCTCCTTTTTCCCCACTCCCCTTCCTTCTGTTTTCACTTTGTTCTCTCTCTCCCTGCCTTCCTCTTTCCTTCCTTCTGTACACTGCCCCTTCTCCCTGCTCCTCCCTCCTCTGTCTATTTGATTTTGCCTCCTCCCGCTCTCCCTCCTTCTGTCACTCTGCCTCCTTCCCAACCGTCCCTCCCTGTCATATGCCTGCCTTCCCATCGCCTCCCTCTCTGCATGCCTCCTCTCCTGCCCTTCCCTCTCTTCTGTCACTGCCTTTACCTACCCGCCTTCCCTCCTTCTGTCACTGACTCTCCTCCCGCCTCCCTTTTATTCCTCTGTCGATTGCCTCCTCCGCTCCCTTCCTCTGCCACTGCCTCTCCTGCCTCCTCCTCGTCCTTTCACTGCCACCTCCCGCTCCCTCCTGTGTCACTGCATCCTCCCGCCATCCTCCTCTGTCACTGCTCTCCCTGCCCTCCCTCTCTGCCACTGCCCTCCTCTCCTGCCTCCCTCCTCTCGTCTCTTGCCTCCTTCTGCAACTTGCTCCCCCCTTGCCTCCTCCTCTTGTTTCACTGTCCTCCCGCCTCTTCCTCTGTATCACTGC